CCCAATAGTCGACAAATAGAAAGAATTTCCAGTTGACGTCCATAAAAACGGTTTCCGCGATGAGGAGTGGGGGCGCACCAAATTGGAAGGCAGCTTGAGCAGAGGAACAGTAGCAAGGAAGTTCACAGTATGTCCAACGAATGTTTCTTAGGTCAATGAAGGATTCTTTGGCTGAAGCATATGCATGTGGCCGACTGGCCGATGCCCTCAGAAAACAACACCTCTTCAGAGAAGGCATATTTCATGCTTCTCGTCATGTCAGCTTGGCGGAGAAACTACAAAACGAGGTTACTTCATGCTCACTCTTCCACCAATTCATTGTTATAAGTTCATAGGACTAATGTAAGCATTATTCTGAAAAAGGTGGAGCGTTTTTGTGCAAAGCAACCATGGAGAGCATTCTCCTCTACTATAAACGTTTGAGAAAAGAAGTATTCGCCGTGAATGGGGGGGGGTCAAGGGTCAACAGGGACGTTTCGTATGGGGCAGCGCGTCCGTTACTGCTCTGTGAAAGTACAGTCATGATCCCTGCAAATGAAAACACGTGAGACACGGTGCGTACTGGAGCGCGGTCAGAGCGTCATTTTCCCCATGCCAAGCTGAGCGCGCTAAGGGTCCAAACTCGATACGCCAGGCTCAAGCATTCCACCGGGCTAGGTTGGAACGAGCTTCGCAACTATCTCGAACTATTTGAAGAACTGGGGATCTCCTGGTGGGTCTAATGGTTCTTGCTACCCGTCATCCGACCATGAACAACTGCTCAAAACTCTCAACATGACAGGGAGCAGCTTCTACAAACTGTTTGCACTCCTTGTGCCCCCCAATATCAATAATTGCTGACTCTTAAGCCAAGATCTTCCTGTCATTTGACGGCGGTGCTTTCAAGGAATGCAAGTCTCACGGGCTTACTCGCTTGGCCAGTCGCAAGTACATATTTTCCGTGCAATATCACTCCTTAGAATCGGATTCGTTTGAGGTATGTGGGCAACTCTTTCTAAGAATTCCAAGGGGTGAAGTGACATCAGTAATCATCAGTCAGCACTCGGGAGAACACTCTTATTGTACATACATAATCCATTTCACACACACATCACCTAAAGCAATCGGAGAAAGGGTCGCTTCGCTCGCTGAAGCATGGATGAAAAATCTCTAAACGGCCGGTATCCTTGGCCCGACTTCTGGTCGCGTTGGTGAGATTCATTGCTGCTCTACACAAGCTCGGGTATTCAGGCTACCTTTATCAAGCCAGTTACTAGTTAGCTTGAGTTTGTACGGATAACAGATTTGTGATCTAACTTGATATTCCATCATTCCAGGAGGAAAAAGACTTGGACCACAGACTAGGCACTTTGAGAATGGATTTGGGTCTGTCGACGATCATAGAGGACCTCAAGAACGCCATAAAATTCTACACGTGAGTGGTTTTTTTGAACGATAAAAGTTGCCTCTCTTCCATTCAATCTTTCTCAGTAAATGTAAAGAAAAACAAAAAGAGAATTCTCCTTTAGCTTCTTGACGAGGAAGAAGTTTACAAAATGGGGCGCACTTGCGAGGCTACTTGTTGCAATTCCACACTGACGTGGTTCCAGAGGAAAAGGGGTGCAAATAATAGCGTTCTCTATGTCTGCTTCGCGACTGCGCCGTGCCGACACTGGTCGCCTGCGCTCCGCTGGGACTGAGCATTGACGTTGCGTTCCGTGTGTGAGCGACCACCAGCGATCACCAGCGTTTCGAGCGTACGCCAGCGACTAGGAAAGTATAGATATCGATCTAGCGAATTCTAGCGTCTACCAGCGTAGACCACCGTCCAGGAGTGGAGAGTATGGGGAAGTAGGAAGGCAGTAGATAGCTGGGCGTCGTGAAACTGCGGCGTGGCAGCCGCACCGCACAATTGCACTACATCGCTCATCAAGATTTCATGATTCCACGCTTCAGCAATTGTACGGTGCGGCTGCACCCACCGCAGTTAATCTACGCCTGATCCAGCTGTCTGCTACTCTCCTACTCCCCCATACTTTCCACTCTTGGACGCTGGTGGACGCTGCGGATGCTGGCGGACCCTGAAGATGAACGCAGCCTGAGAAGGAGAAAGGATGGACGCGCCGCCGCGTGCACCCCCCCCCCTCCAACTACTTAAACGCCACAAAGTTTATCGTAGCATCCTCTTTACGGAAGATTAGTGAGGTTGGATCCTTAACCTGCCATTACTTATGTGCCTCTCGAGGTCTCCTGGTACAAAACTCACCAAGGCTCCACCGTAAATCCGTTGTGATGTGGATGTCACCACGTCTGGCGAAAGGAAGGGAAGGCGACTGAAACAGGGTCATAAAACAGCAGGAACTAACCTAGAGGTATGTGCAAGAAGGTGGGAAAGGAGGCCGCGACATCCTCTTTCCGGAGTAGGAATACCGGTGCGTATAGGGCTGAGTAGACGCGCAAAACACCGATTACTTGAAGGTTTCAAATGCTATTCTTGCCGAAACTTCCGTCTCTTGTGCCAGTAGTGTATACTTAATATCAAGTTAAAGCGGGCACAAAATGATGAAAAACGGGCTGGCGGAGAGGCAAACCGAGCTCTCCTGACACGCCCCAGCGTCTGCAGCGAAATAGCCTAGAGAGCTCCTTTTTTGCAGGATGTGCAGTGAGGGCTTCAACAATTTTGGATACGAGTGCAAGTTGGCGACTACATGTTATTACATCGGAGATGCTTATTTTCTCTTGGGAGATTGCAAACAAGCCCTTCAGTACCTCTTGAGGGTGAGGAGAACTATTAAATGAAAAATTGTTGAATTTCTTTTTGATCAGCTGTACAGGGATTTCTAGGCTAAGGAAATTGGAGAGCAGTTTGATGACAATCATCTGAAGCAACTGATCTACTCAAAATTAAGTAGTACCTATGTACTTTTGTCCGAAGGTCAACTTGCTAACAAATTTAGCAGGTATTCTACACGCATACGACCAATAAAGGACGCGTGCGGTTGCGTCACGGTTTCGCCTATGGTGTGCGGAATCTGCTTTACAACCGTAGCTATTCGCACATGGAGCGTCAGTATGGAGGAGAAGAGGCCATCTAATCAATCCCTAGCTAGCATCTGTTCCTGATTTTCAAGGAAATGTCATAAGCCGTGACGCGACCGCCCGCTACACTAATGTGCAGATGTGTCTGAGAACGTGGATGTGAAGCTATTGTTCCAGAGAAGCCGTCAAAACCAGGATTCGCATCAAAGAGGAGAAGACTTGCACGTGCAGTAAGGAAGTTTCTGTCACATCCCATGAGCAGCTTCATGAACTGTGGAGTACGTGCCTATAATATTTGTGAATTTTCATGTTTACAAACCTAATAATTACCTCTACTAACCCGTCACCCCTTCGACCAATTCCTCACCGATGGTTGCTTACCTCGAAGCGGGGCAAGGAGCGTTGCTTCCCAATTGCGGCAAGTGCGGCGAAATAAGCGTTGCAAGGGGGGGGGGAGGTGAAGTGCGCAGCATTCACACCAGTACCCAAGGATGTATCGCTTTACACCCCTCGGAGCGGGTTATAATTTCATGTCCGCATTAAACATTCTGGCTAAGAAAGCTTTGGGACGGCTAAGAAAGCACGGAAAACGTAAGCCCAGACGCTACACTTTCGTTCGCTACTGATGAAGGGGCGTGTCAAGCGAGATGGCTTGGGTGCGCTCATGGTCAGCCCGTTTTTCACTGAAGCAAGCAAGCGACAAGACTATATCATACGTTCGTATCTCTCGTTTCCCACCAACTGTTGCCGCTTTCCTTCAACAACTGGTGGAGAACAGGTCCGGCGCCGTGCCCACCCATCCCGCCTGACACGCCCCTTCTTTTGCAGCGAACGAGGCTGTGTAGCTTTTCGAAGCTGAAGGCAACACCTTTTATCATTATAGGGACATTTTCGTGGTTCAGAAACAGTTGAATTCGTGACCCTACCACGTTATACGTCCAGAGGGCGTTGGGCCATCGTGACCCCTTCCGTCACGTGATCCTACGATTCTTCCCAGGAAACGGTTTTCCCCAGCACAACCCTGCACAACGGGATCCCAACCTCAAGTAGGCGGGGTACGTGGTAAGCGGCAGGCATGGGCTACCCATCGGTTTGAGTTTCTCCATACGGCTAGGACGAGTGTTCCAACACCCGAAAGCTCATCCGAGCGCTTGAAATTAGGCGAGTCAGGAGTGCAGAGGAGCCTTATTTGGGGG